TATTTGTGCAAATATTTTCCTTCACAATGAGCAATATAATATTAGGATCACAATGTCCCTGAAGCACTTTATCCACAAGTATACATAATAATCCAACCTGCCCTGAACATTGGATGAGATGGTAAATCATTAACGAACACAAAAAGTAATTGATTCCCCCCTCTGTTAATACACTGACAGAGCCTCTCTATATCCAATCTTAAATCTATTGCTACCCCTTTCACCCTTTTTCCCCATCTCTGTCTTGCCTCTCTGCATCATTGCCACAAATTCCTTGTAATCTATTTGCCCATCCTGCAACACAAACATATCATTCATAAGTTGGCATTCAATTCTCATTTATGAAAGTCGCCTCACACTCTTCATTTTTGATTTATTTAATGCAAAATATATACTCACGTTATCTTGATCTGCTTCTCTGATAATTTCTTCTAAGTGGATTTCTTCCATGCCAAATTCTTGGCAAGCTTGTTGGAGCTCATCTGGTGTGATATACCCGCTTCCATCTTTATCGAAGTATGAGAAGGCTGCAAACAGGTGGTCTTCCCTCTCAATTTTATTTAAATGCAATGTGGCAGCTATGAATTCTTTGTAGTCAATTGTTCCACTGTTATCAACATCTGCCTGTATTCTCAAAACATGTTTCATGGGATGGAGTTAGAACATTGTTAAAAATCTGTCCCATTATGACTGTGAAGCAAGCGTTCATCTTGTTGGTGAAATGAATACTCAAACAGAAACAAAAGAATAAAAAAAAAAAAAAATCATCTGTGGTGAAGATGACTGTGGACAAATACTTACGGCTTGCATTAGATCATGTATTTCCGATTCATTCAGATCAGCACCAAATCTTCTCAGTCCATTCTTTAGTTCTTCGAATGTAATTTGACCACTGTTGTCTGCGTCGATGATCTTAAAAATTTCTTTCAATCCAGCAATTTCTTCTTCGGAGAGCTTCTCTGCAATCACCTGCAAAGAACAGTCAAAATATGGTTTTAGAGTCATGTTGTTAAGATGTTGACAAGTTAATTTATCTGAGAAAAAATATGGGTTACCATTCCCAAAAGATATGAAAGCAACATACTCTTATAGCCATTTTCTCGAGCTTATTCATGGCAGAAAACTGCTTCAGGCGACTCAAGACTGCTGAATCAAGAGGTTTATCTGGAGCTTCTCCATTAACTCGTATCCAAGGATGACCTGCAACAATGAATAGTTTTATCATTAACATCAATTTGGCTTCTTTTCTCCTGGTTTTTATCTTAGACAGAAAGAGGTTTAACAAGAAGCACACTGCTAAAGTGTACATCCTGTGGCATTTTGCAAATATGTACCATAATAATGGTGAGCTAAATAAAATAGCCCACGACAATTCTTATTTCAGTTATCTGAAAAATCAAGACAAGAAAAACTCACAAAGAACTTCATGAGCAGTTATCCGTTTTCTCGGATCTCTAGTAAGCATCCTCCTCACTAAGTCTTTAGCACTGTCTGAGATTTTAGGCCAAGGATCTGATGAGAAATCAAGCTTCCCATCCAAAACCTCTTTGAATATATCCTCCTCTGTTTCTGTTACCACTCAATAAAAAGTGTGCATAAAGTTTAGAATCTAGCAGGAAAAACGTAGTGTAAGTATATACATATTAAGCAAGACTATTGGATCATCATCATGTGCTTAACATCTTAAGAATTCACAATTACCAGCCCAAAATGGAGGCACCCCACATAGCAGAATATAAATCATCACACCAGCACTCCACACGTCTGCTTCTGGACCATAACATTTGCACAGAACTTCTGGTGCAACATAATAAGGACTTCCTACAACGTCTGTGAAAGTTTCCCCTGCATCATTGAGACTAAGCAAATAAGAAAACAAATATGAACCTCTCTTCATTAACATACAGATTATAACTACCCATTTTTCTGCTAGAGAGACTTAAAAAGACAGGACTTTAAGAATTAAGGCAAACAACTAAGTTGATGTTAACAGCAAAATGAGAAGGGAGAAGGCATCTAACGAATACCTGGTTTGAAAAACGTAGACAATCCAAAATCTATAGCCTTAAGGGGAGAGTCTTCATCCTTACTGACGAAAAGAAAATTCTCAGGCTTAAGATCACGATGCATGACTCCAAGGGAGTGACAAGCTTCTATAACACTAACTATAGTCCTGGCAAGTTTTGCTGCTTTTCTTTCAGTGTAATGCCCTCTTTCCACAATCCTATCAAACAGCTCACCCCCTGCACATAGTTCCATCACAACATGAACTGCCACAGGATCCTCATAAGCCCCTTTTATAGATATCACATTTGGGCATCCGGCTAAGTGATGCATTATCTGAATCTCCCTCCTCACATCCTCGACATCTTCATATGTCAGCAACTTTCGCTTTGCAATGGACTTGCAGGCATACTCTTTACCTGTAGCTTTCTCCATGCAAAGGAAACTCGTTCCAAATTGCCCATGTCCAAGTTTTCGTCCCAGTTTATAGAGCTCCTTAAGATGACCAGTTTTTGTTTGCAAAACAGAATCTGCTTGCAGCCCAGCCGATGCAAACCTTTTCATCTTGCGGGGCTTCTTTTGTTTTGTAGGTTCCACTTGTTGAATAATCTCTTCATTTCGTACGCTCGTCGGAATCGGTCCACCCTCTTCCGTATGCCTCAGCTTCACCGGCTGGGGTAGTGTTGATTCCTCCATTGGTGTTTTTGAAGATTTAATCGCTTCGTCCTGTTTTTGAGGTTGAGGTTGAGGTTTTATTTCCTTTACTGGTTTCGTCTCCATCCTATCGATTCTCAATACCTGGGGTGGGCTGTTTTGAACAGTCTCTGAAACATTTGGGCCTTGGCTTCTGGACGATGATTTACTGGTAGGAGAAATCATATCCCCTGTTGGTCGTGACCACCAAAGTGAACTGAAAATAGTGGGAAATAATGCATCCCTGGCGATTCTTGATCCAACGCAGTTGTTACCCATTTCACAAAAGTCACTTTTCTGTTCCGAGTGTTCAGCAAATAAGAACTGAAAGAATGCTAATAACCCAATGCGCTATCTAAAGTGCGAACTCAAGCAAATGAATACCCGTGACTGTTGTAAGAACTTCCATGGAAGCATGCAAAGAAGAGCATGGAATGGGAAATGCATATAAATAGATTTTAGCGGGAAGAGGAATGAATGAGGCAAGAAGGGAGGATTTCGCAGAAGGGGGGGGGGATTTGAAGGCGTAAAAGAGGAAACTCGATGATGATTGAAGATGGCGGATAAGGGAAAATTGACTCTTGTTAACGAGACAGTGCGAATGGGGAGGAAGAGGAAGTCAGAACAGGAAAAGTCACACAATAAGGTATGAAATCTTTGATTGTGAAAAGAAAAAGGAAAGAGGAGGGAAAGAGGGAGTAACAGAAAGCGAGTGACCGGTTTAACTGTGGCGTAGAATGTTTCAAAATACGCGTGCCAAAGCCTCGAGCTAATCGGACGGCTCCTAAAGATGCCCCGGTTTAAGTAAACGGCACAGATTTTATTTGTTCTTTTTCTAATGAAACTCAGCTTCATAGTTGAATTGATTCCTACAAAGTTGCCGGGTCGGTCATATGTGAGGGCTCAGAGGCACTAGCATGCACCAAACAGCCGGCCGCCGGCCGCCGTTTACACCTGTTCAATATGCATATTTATTTACGTTTAACTTTTAACTTTTAATATTGTATTATATGTTTTCAACTTTTCATTGCTCTACCGGCTTATCTGCATATTCTCGTTGGAGCTTAAGTTCAAATACTCTTTCTTCTTTGCAGTACGTCGTGGACGAATATTTCTATTTTCGGAGTGATTAACGTTTCACTTCATTAGAGAATTAGCTAAAAAGATGAGTTAACATTCCCTACCCGGTGATGAGGTTGCCTGGGGCCTAGTCCAACATATAAGTTTCTCCCTTGTTAGATCAGATGAGTAGTGAACCACACTATGGCTGCAATGAACTGTTCTATTTTCTGCTGTCAGACACGGTTGGACCTCGTAAAAGGATATATTTTAATTCCTGATTTAAAATGACAATTTTAATCTCTTAATTAATCAGTCAACCAGAGGATAGACGTTTAAAGTCCTGCCTGTTAGAAATAAACGTGTGTAATTTAATGAAACTGGTCCCTTTTATTTAGCAAATTGGCTAGCCGTCCCATTCAATTCAATAACCCAAAACGCAATTTGGCATCTTTTATTTGCCATGCTCGATTTTCAACGCTGTAATTATCAAAGTTATTTATTTCTTTTTCGGGAGTGTTTGGCAACCTCCAAACCATGATTTCAGAAGCACTTTTCCGTAAAACGAGGTAAATTCCTCTACATATTTATTTCGTAAACCATAAAAACACTTCTAAAATTATAGTTTGGTTTATATCCAAACACTCCCTTCATCTAAATATAAAATAACGCTTTTAGATAAAACGAAATTTTATGAGAGAGAAGATAAGAGGTGCCACCCCAACTTGCATTGGCGATTCAGAAATACAATGGTGCTCGCGCTTGGAAGCAACTGATTGATTCCGTAACAGGAGAGGGAAGAAGACTTGACTGCATGCACTTATTTCTTGTGGGATCAAATTCCCACCAAATAGATCAGAGGAATCGCCCATCATGACCACCACTTCCTGATTAAAGTCCAAACCCCTCAGAAACGTGTTTATCGGTATCCCATTTTTAAAATCTATAATCTTGCACGTCTTTACCATAACATTAAAAATCTATGAACACTCCTATTCAGGCTCCTTGAGCACGATATTTGACCCAATCTTTTCTCCGCCTTTAAGAAAAGTACAGACACAATCGTCTGGAAAATTCGGGGCAAGCTGTGATGCCCAATCCACATTTTTTAGGGAAACAGATAGGAACTTGGAAGATGCTCATTCAAAAAGTCGGAAACCTAATTCCTATACGAAATCAGTGGCCAGACAAGCAAGGAAAATGTGAAAAATCAACGCAGAAGAAACATGTTATTGGAATATTCTTGTATAGTCTGCGCTTCCACAGTCCACTATCAAACACTAAGCATATCCGAGAGGCCGACATGTATTAATATTACGTCAGTGGCTCTATTCAAACATCCTGAGCCAATCCAGATAGATCGGCATCTATTGATCCGTACTCTTTGGGTTTGGGTTTAGACGAGGCTTCCTGTCGAGGAAATTCTTCAATAGGTATCCCCTTCTTCATGGAGGAGGATGAGTCCCCATCAAATATTCGTGGAGCCCTTGTAAACACATCAAAGAAGCCATTGCTCATTTCTTCAGCTGCTTCGAAAAAACGACTGACGCCTCCAAAGAAGTTGCGTTCAAGGGCCTCAATGTCACTTTGCAGCCCTGGTGATCCAAACATGAATGACCCTCCCCTCTGAACCGCATCAGTGACATCTTCTTCAGTAAACTCCTTGTTCGATTGAATTACTTCAACAGGCCTGGGAAGAGAGGTAACAGAGAAGGCCATAAGAACAAGATTAATTAAAACCCTTCAAGTAAGAGTAAACCTACCAAGAGAAAAGACCAAACAAAAGGAAGCAAGAGATACGACACAAGTTCCAACTGTTATTCCTGTTTTGCACAGAACCTAATGCAAGAAACTAAAATCAACCCTTTAGAACATCTAAGCAAACTTATACTAGAGAAGGTAAGCTCTAAAAGCTTAGGCTGCTCAGCCATCCAACATCATCTTAGGACTAATTTATCACCTGAAAACTAATGTGACCATTAATAATACATGATATTACTATGCCTAAAGATTCGAGGCCACATGATAACAGACGTAAGGTCTCAATACAGATATGAAAGTCAAAACATAAATACGCCCCGAGCATCTATTTCAATGAGAACTAAAATTTGAGAACACGAAAATCTGACGCTGAGCAATGCCAACTTAACAACTGAATTTGTTAATTTTTTTTATTTATAGATATTCCTTGAGTAATATTTTGAAATAATTATTATGCAAATAAATGGTTTTTTGTTATATGTTAAGTTTTTTTTGGTAAGTAGTTGACCCAAATTAAACAATTAATAAACCCACACCTACTAACGGGTAAAATCAAACATGCTACACTGCGCAGAACACCTTCACCTGTAATGTCCCCTCTTGACATCCAACCTTGAGGGTGGTGTAGTTAGCATGATTAAATCCACATTCATCCCTAGACTACGTGAGGCTAGCCAGAGAGCTAGCCTTTCCTTATCTGTAAGACGTATAAGGTTTAACCTCTGAGTCATTCACCATCCCTTCCTGAATATTCATCAATATGTTGCTACTATGGTCTCTGATAGCATCCATAATGCTCACAACATCACCCCCCCCCTCCCCCACAAAAGGAAGGGTAGGCCCCTCAAACGACTCTAACATCTCTACTTCAATGAATATTGAGTGTGATGTTAACTAAGCACAGGAAGCTTTCCCTCAACTTTTGATCTTCAGCAGATTCCGTCACCATATTTCACATATATGTTCCGGAAGGAGATTAGACAGAAATCTCACTGCTTCTATTTGTTACCAAGGGAAACATTATTAGAACTCATTTCTACCCAACTCTTTTCTCATACAGTATTTTGCTTTACTCATAAGCCGCAATAGCAATGTGCACCACTTAAACCATCGGATTGCACGTTCACAACTCTAGCAGTGGGATTTCAATGGTATACACGCTGATATTTCTCGTTTTAGGCAAAGAAGTCGGGTAATATAGCTACTCTGCTATGTAGCTTCAAAGCCAGCTTTCAACTAGGCCATGGCAAGATAATATACAACCAAAATGTTTCTAGTCCAGAATTCTCAAGTGCAAAATGTTATTCTTGTTCATAAAAAGGAAGGTTCAAAAATGTCAAGGAGTCCATACCATGAATAAAATTTCATCCATTTGTACTTCATAGTATGTCCTAGAAGAAAAAGAAACGAAGAAAATTACGCTACCACAATGTAAACGTTGCTATAAGCGCCGGTGAAAATTCTTTTCCAATGGAGCAAAATAATTCGTTCGCAAGAATTGGCACCAGAGACAAAGGAAGAAACACCGACTCACCATAATACCTCAGCGGAGCATCCTCAAATGCAACAGAACTGAAATAGAGACCCTAAGGCGGGAGAAACAAAAGAACTTACTTTCCAATACAATCCCTGAGGACCTCTTCTGTTTTCTCGCACTTCCTGACGAATCTTCCAGGTTCGACCTCCTCTGTTCTGCACTGGGATTTCACAACCTTTCTGGTGGAACAACGATCCTGGGTAGGAGAGTCAGATCTCCCAAATTCGCTAATGTCACGCGAAGACATTTGTTGGCCGTCATCATCGTCTCTCCAAATCCATCCCATTATCAAATCCCTTTAGCGATCGCAAAATAGCAATTCCTCAAGATTTCAACCACAACTCACGGTTAGGCTACAGGCTCAATGTTTGGTTCGTTCGGTGGTTTTTTTCTTATTTATATCGAGGCCCTCTTAGCTTTCTCACCAAGGAAGCAAACGGAAGCCCAAGTCCACGTGGCTCTAGGATCGTTCATCTCCTTTCCTCCATTTGTTTGGCACCTTCACGAACTCGCGGTCAATTGAGATAAGCCACTTGAAAAAATAAAAGGAAAATATTGCAATAAATGTTTTAATTAACTGTCGAGGGGAAAATATATTTTCACCAGTTTTTGTAATGATTTGGAATTAGAGAATAAATAGTTTGCTAAGGTTGGTTCGGAAGAACATTTTTTCCCTAAATTTTAAAGAGTAAATACTTTTCATTGGTTTTTGGGTAACTAACTAATGGTATTAAAAATAAATAGTTTTAGAAGGTCAGTTTCGAGAGAATAATTTTTCAGAGAAGATTTTCATGACAAAAAGAAGAAATAATTTCGTATTGCTCAAGCTTCAAAAGAATATTAGGCCCAAAAAAGGTTCGAAAGAATGTTATTTCTCCCAAACTTCATAAATATTTTTCATTGATTTTTTAACCATTCTTAATAGTATTTAAAAAATAGTTTTTGGAAGGTTATAATATCAAGAGAATGGTTTTTACAAAGGAAAAAAATAAATAAATCTCTTTCACTAAATGATGACGCAAGAGCAGGTATCAAGTTTCGAATTATTGCTTCAAACAGTATTACTTTCAACAAGAAGAAACTTGTACCTAACAACAACAAAAAAGAAAGGAAAAATTCTTTGGAACTACACTTGTACAAAACCCTAGAATGAGGTCAAGCCATTCAGTGTTTAAACATATGTGAACTGCTATCTTTAGTTCTTAATATAAGAGCTTATTTGACATCTATTTTAGTATTAAATATAAGACTATAGTTTAGTTTCTCATATCTATCTATCTGTTTTCTAAAGTAATCTTTATAATAATAATAGTTTCAATCAATACATTTAATTAACAAAAATATTTTTAAAAAAACAACACACATGTATTACAAATAACTAATTTAATGAGTTTTTTTAATCTACTCAAATTAATCAATTAGTTCTTAAAAAAGACAGGAGAACTACCTTTAAATGCGTCTTCGGCCCAAACTCATTGGGATAACCAGTGGCGCAAAAACCCAGGACCATCTGGGGGCAGAAGTCCCAAAACAAAACATGCTCCACGTGGCGGGAAGGGGGAGGGAAAGCAATATTGCATATTAAAATTTCTGCATTTACCCTCGACTGCAAGGCACAGTTTATTTCTTCTTATACGCAGCATCCGTGTATATTACAGAATACAGATATAGGTTGAATGGTTAATGAATAGCCTAATGTTACATATATGGCAAATGGTATTTTGAACGGAAAATATTATTCAAGGAAAACAAAGGAAAGAACCTCTATGGCATGTATAACTAACCACCATAATGTTACAATACCCGCATCAACGATTCCGACTCAAAGGGAGAAGTTTGAACCCGACGTTCCCCTTCCGGCCCAAAGAGGAAAACAAAGGGAAGAACCTCTATGGCATATTTAAGGGCAAGTTGACGACCAAAAGGGAAGAACCTCTAAGGAAAAAGTTCGGGCCCTAAATGCTCGAATACCAAGTTGACAAGAAGCCCGAAATTACCCGATTTTCTCATCTGCTGCTCTTGGCGATCGAACTTTTCCCTCTTAATAAGGGCAGAAAACAACAGTGTTGATGCTTTTTCAGCCCGCTTGACTTCTTCGGCTGATCAGAAGACATATCTTGGATTGCATCCACATCTGATTGCTCGTTACTGTCCAGCGTTTTTAGGTCCAAAGTTGGGGTCTTTGTTGCCCCCTTTTCTGAGGAACATATAGGCACTGAAACATTCTGCTCTGGAGAAGCTGGTACTACTTTGTTGTAGTTTACTTCCTTTAAATTAGAATTTGTGCCTGTACGCCTGTAACCGGGAAAAAAAAAAAAAAAAGAATCAGATTGTTAATTAAATGTTACTATTTATCATTAACATTCTGGCTATTTGGCTCACACTAACACAATCAGTACACAATCACTAATAATCACCTTAAGCTGTGAATGTCAGGGTTATTCCCAAGTGCTTCTTGAGTATTTTCCTCCAGAATCTCTTCGTTTAATACTTTGACAGTACTAACCTCATTTTTGGAACACAATTGACCAGGTTTTGAGGAATATGTATAAAGTTTGTCATCCTTTTGTTTGGACGGAGACTCTTTACAGGTGAAGTTGAAGCTGGGAGAGGGCTGGAAGGAATGAAATCCATATTCTCGAACAGCTGAAATGGCCTCCTCTAATGTTTCAAGAGCCTGCTCTACCTCTGCTCTGATATGTACATTCTTTTTGCCCTTTAACTGACTCGCATTAACTTCATTAATTCGAATATGTTCTACTTTCTCGTCATCCTCTTCAATGCGCTCAGTTTCTTCACTATCTGCCTCCACAATCTCAACATGTGCATTGCTACTGTCCAGTGCTGTTCCATTCATTGATGTGAAGTCATCAGCATGATAGTTGCCCTTATCCCCCTGAGACACATCTTTTGTATCATCTTGCTTACTTTCAATAACTTCTTCGGCTCGGATAATGTCTACACCTTGGGCATCCGTAGACTTCTTTGACCCATTAATAACATATAGAGCTTCACGAAGTCTCGAATATAATGGCTCCCCCAAAGCCTTAATAAATCCTTCATCATGGTCCATCATCGAAGCCACTGCCTGTAGCAAAAACATGGGTTGCATAATGTGCCGAGATGGTTAAAATTTTTTTTTTTGGGGGGGGGGGGACATAACGGGAATGCTAGGATGTTTATATACACGAGCAAGCAGAAAATGACAACCGGACCCAATATTCAGATGAACCACAGCATTTAAAATCCTATATTCTAAAGGCCGTGAGCTCAGTAGGCATGACAAATCCAACAATGTAACTTATGACAAAAGAACCCACGGGATTCATAAATAGGTTTCATTTCTGGATCAAAGAATGAGTCAGCTCATTATTGTATGAAAGGAAGCAAAAACGAATAAATCTTCATTGAAAGCCATATAAAGGACACAAATACAAAAAGAATCTTCAACCTTCTTGTAAAGTCTGAAGCCACTGCCAATGAGCTGTCTTGAGATGAAGTTGATAAGTGATGGAGGTACAATATCCAACTTTATATCCATGTTTGCTATCGTCCTACAAAATTTGATAGACCTGAATCAGCTTTTCCAATCAAAATTTTTCTGTGCCACCGTTTTTTACTTTTCCCCACATGAAGTTAGAAAAGCATGCCCATACTTAGTCTAATCTCATTGAATATAAAGCGAGTTTGATAGCCACATAAAAGCAAGATAAGAAACAATACCATTGAGAACCAGTAAAGTCAATCAGAAAAACCAATCAAGCAAGGTGACCATATCGAACAAACAACCAAAATATATGATCAGAGTGAGAACAATCCAAATTCCCCAACTGATCCCCAAACCCAAGCCTAAGAAGCATCAAATAGCCGAAATTTTGTTACTGCCTAACCCAAGACGGACTAGAAATTGATTTAGGACCTCACTGTTGAAAACAATCTTAAACTCTTCATACCTCAGCCACATTCTAAAAGTGTTTTAACTCTAGATATATTCATTTGCCAATTTATGAGCAAAGTAACCAGCTCACAAAAGCTGTAAATAAAGAAATAAAACCTAGTATATTAAATCTCGTTATGCATATGAAATTATTCTTTATTTTGCCTCTTTTTTAAATCCAGCAGATCCTGTAGGGTCTAAAATTGACTCTGCCAAGCGACTGTTTCGCTCGTTTAGTTCCATATCCAAAATATATATCAAACTCACCGAAAATAACTTCTTTCTGATGTCACCTTTTGCAAAGCAAAACCTCCCACCACATCAATCCTAACCACATCGTTTGCTTCAGGAATTGCATCGTTGTTGAAACCATAAAGTTGCCCATTGAAGCTCTTTGAATCAGGAATCTGAAACCAAATCCATCATAGTTATTGAAGCTCAGATCTGGATTTGAATTAACTAAAAAAAGAAATTAAAGAAGAAAGAATGTCCACGAAACTACCGTATTTATAATGACAACAATTAAGTCATCCTGGAAGTACTCAAACAGATAATAGTGCATGACAGCCTCCCTTGTGGAAAGTGGCCATGAAAGCTTCACCCTTTCTTCCGACATTTCAAGTAAAATAAGCATTAGAAAGTGAACATCTATGGTATAATAGACGGCAAGTGAATTTTTAAAAAAGAAAGGTCAACAGTGACAAGAAATCAACCTTATTAGAGATAATTGTTCCCCAATCCGGACCCTCTGCAAACACTCACTCACCACGATTTTGAAAGTGGGAACAGTAAACTGAGGCCACCTGAGAAATGAAAAAAGTGACATGGCTGTTAGCTTTTTTACTTACTGTTTCCATCTCTGGTCCAATAAAAGTTGACAACATCATGGAAGTGAAATTAAAAAACTTCAACCTCTTAGGTTAAAAATGCACCCAGCTTAAAAGGTCAATGAGATATTCATATAGGTAAAAAGTACTCCTTATCCAACCACAGAATCCTTCCCCTCATCGGTAAAAACAACTGTCCAATCATTACCTAGATTCAAATCATTTATGACTACACAGCAAGATAGCACCATACTACAGAGATGAATTTGCTAAATTCCTCTCCGAAATTGATCATATCAACTAGCAGAAAGCCCCACATATTGAAGTGCAACCTAACCTACCACTCGAATGGCCCACACCTTATGTTGATCACTCTTCAAATTCGAGAGTACACATTTTCCATCATCAGTCATAACACAGTTAATCAAATTTTACAAGAATGAGAGAAAAGGAAAACATAGAGACAACATTGGAAAACTTCAACCTCTTTGCTTGAAAAATGCACCAAACTTAAAGAATCAACGACATTTTCACATTGGTAAAA